ACTCTTCTTTGAGGAGCTTACAAAGTTTTGTGTTGAAAGATTTTTTAAAAATATGCATTTATTCCTTAATAAACACCTTTGTCAACTGTGGTTTTCATAGGTCTTGGGGTTTTTACTCTGAGCACCATATCCTGTGGTATGAGATGGTAGCAGGAGTGGTATGGAAGTTTGACTGAGTGTGGACAGACTTCAGAATATCCCTGGAATATTGTTTTCACAACAAAAGAAGTTCAACACCTTTTATTAGCTTGTTTTCTTAGCATTTTGGCTCTTTCTCTTAGTGGAGGGAAGGCAACCAGCCTGGTCAAGTGTGTGCTTGCAAAACGAGGTTAGAGTGTCCCTTTTCCTGTGTCAGAACCATTGTGTGGCCTCAGGGCCTTGAGGACATACTCAGACACCAGCAGAGCAGCTTCTTGCTGGTCCAACTAGGAGTGTGAGTGGTCGTACAGAGAACGTGCAGTCCCTAGAGCTTACTCTCAGAAAACGGTGGAAGCCAGTTCCTACATTTTAGAAGAATCAGGTTCCGCCTGTGAAGATCTCCCGGGGGTCAGGGCTATTGTATGAAGTGACCAGCCTCTTTCCACCCTCCTGTAACTGTGCTATCCTGCTATCATCTGCTCCAGCCTGAACTCCATAGGCCCCCATGCTGTTCTCCCTGCGCAGGGCTGGCCTCCTCCAAGTCAGTTTATACAAGGCAATTCCAGTGATACTTCTAAAACCATGACTGGTCCTATTACTTCTTAAATTCAGCAACTTAACTCACATGTTCTACAATTCTGGTCACCCTGCAAGACCAGGGCTTTTCAGTGTCAGCATCATCTGGGTGGGAGGGGGTTACAGACTCATGAACCCAACGGGCCTCTGCATTGGCACCTGTGCAAGTCGGCTGGGGAATCTGCACTGTAATGCACAGCTGGGTCACTTCTCGTCATGCATGTTTGTAAGAGGATGGGGATTGTGTCTACCTTGTTCACTCACATATCCCCAAAACCTAGTCCAATGCAGCAGAGACAGGGTGCTCAGTAGATATTCCTTGATGGGTGAACAGTGAATGGGCGAAAATTCTGGTCACCGAAATGTGGACATCCGGCTCATGACCAAGGCCCACGGTGGCTTCCTTCCCCCTTCTGGGCCAAATTCCCCCTTTATAAAACATAGCGATTGGGCCAAGTAACTCACATGACTTCTTCTCGCCTTAATAACCCACAGCACTGCGAATCTTTCATACCGACAGCACTAATGTATGTTTTCTGTTGCCCTTTGCTGCCTCCCTAAGAGGTGGAAAAGAGTGGAAATGAAAATCAACCACAGCCCAGAGATTTGTTGTCAGTTTTAATAGGAGGGGTGGAGTCAGTTTAGAGGAACGTATAAAAAGACCTTAAACTTTTTGCTGGAACATGATATGGTTTGTGCATAGCACATACATATTAACAAAATAGAAGCATCACATTTTACAAGCACATGACTGAACAAATTCTGAGCTTTCCTACTCGTTAGTCCGAAGCTCGGGGACAGCTCCACAATGGGACCCAGCCTGAGGTACATAGTGATTTATAGAAAGGGAAAACCACGTGGGGACACAGCTGTCTGAATGCTGGAATTTCAGGAGTTCATGAGGTATAGAGACATGGTTCTGTGTTGCCTATCTACACGATGGACTGGATATGGGGTCTGTTTTGGGTGTAATCAGTCCCTCCTGTTCTGAGAAGAGGAACCCTGGCTCAGGGGCAAAGGCAGACAGGAGTATTTCTGTCTATCCTCTGGCCTCATCCCAGACATTCCTACCCTTGGAGTTTTCCTGGGAGGTAGCAGAATGAGTGGCTGGTTCCTTGCCAGGAGGAAGGGGGACAAATATTAGAGATCAGCTTTGCAGACGTGGGAGGGGCAAGTGGCAAAGAAAACCTCCTCAGAGCCTTTGGGAAAAGCATTGGGAAAGAGAGATGTAGAAGTTTCCCAGTGTGTGTTCACATGAGAAGGGACAGAGGGGACAGAGGGCTGAGGGGCTGTCCCTGTGTCTGGAGGCCGGTGGCAGCAGGTGGTAGGTGCGGTGCGCCAGTGGCTGTGGCTTTGGCAATAACGTGCAGCACGGAAGGTGGGAACGCCAGCTCGTGGACTTCTGCACGGCTCTCTTCCTCAGGACTTGCATCACGAGAACTTGAAGGGTCTGAGGTGCAGGACAAGACAAGGGCCCAGAGCCAGCATGGGCAGGAGAATTCCAAACTGCCCAGGACAGGATTCGGGCAGGAGGGAATTTCAGGCCTGGATTACTGGCCCAAGGAGAAACCTATGTGTCTAAAAAGGAGAGGACTTTATAGCCTGGATCAGATAATAAAGAAAATATTCTTTCTTATCATAGAGTAAGGGCCCTGACCAGGGGCTTGGAGTGTGTGTGTGGAGGTCTTGTGGGATGTGGAGGCAGAGGAGGAAGGCTGTGAAGGATAGTGGTAGGGTATTAATTACATAATTATAAGCTGCTTTCCAAAGGAGGTTCAAAAATGTATGAGAAGTGGCACGAGAAGGGGATTAGAAGGCAGCAAATGACGAAGCCAACATAGTCAACAGCTTGAACACAGCAGCGGGAGTTTTCTGGTTTCCTCCGAAGTCCATCCATTACCCTGAGAGGGGTGCAGATTTTATCTGGGCCTGGGGCTCCCCCATTGTCTCTGAGCTAACCTATTCCTAGCTGAGAAGTCCTTCTTCAAAGGGGTTCAGAATGTTGCTCTCTTTATCATTTACTCTTGAAGAGGGAATAAGGCAGCCTCAGGGCTCCTGGAACCCCAAGTTTGTGTGGAGCTGCCATAGCAGGTTCAGGTTAGAAGAGTGACCAATGAGCTACAAAACTCTCTAAATCAAGGTCATAGCTCGGGATTTGGGGGAGGGAGGACCGAGTCATTCTCAGGACCTGTCAGCAGGAAAGTGGGAACACCCTGTGCAAAGTCTTCTGCAGCCTCTTAGAGCCCAAGGGGCTGACAGCTGAATTCAGGACTCAACAGACATGATGACCTGATAGGCGAGGGCTCCACACACCTGTGCACAGACAAGGAACTGAGGAGCCCCTCACTGATCTCATTCTGTTCCTGCCCTTTAATCTGCTTCTGTGAGTGGGGACTGATTTTTCTTAAGCCTAAGTCACTTATAGGTCAAAGAGAAAGCCCTTGGGAGAATTCCTTTGGATGGGAAGGACTTCAAGAGTCAAGGATGCATTCCTATATTCAGAAGTGATATTCAAAATACTTAACACCTAGTACAGCAGAGTCCTGGTACCCGTTAGAACAGATGCCCAGCTGCTCGTAACTGATTCTAGTCGTAGTCAGTGTGCTGGGGCCTCTGTGTAGTGACTAAATATCAAGCCTGCCAGATCCTGGGCATTTCACAGCGTCTCCTTCTCACTTCCAGCATGACAAATGGAAGCAGACATTTGGGGAAACTCCTTGTTGGGGTTTGAACACTCTTATGAGCCACTGGAGAGATGCAGGAAAGGTCTGGCAGTCTGCCGCCCCTCTCATGCCAAGTTAGCTCAAAGATCTAGGCAGGGAGGAACCTAACTCTTTGGGGCCTAAAACTTGTTCCTCCTCTCCAGATCACAGTCTGTCCATCCACCCAGCTTCCTGCACTCTGGCCGCATTCCTTTGGGAACTGATATGGGCCTCAGGTTCTGAGAGTATCCATTTCTGATGAACCCTGTTATAGAAACAGATTACTCTGGACAATCTTCTGAAAATCAATCAGCTTTGCCTCCAAGCCGATCTGTGCTTCAAATATTCCAGTCAAGATGGACCAGTTTTCTCTCCCTCTACTGATCCAGGACCTCAGCTCCTTCCAGTTTCTATCCAAGGCTTGGCCATGTCCACTCCTGCTCCTGAGCTCTTCCTGCATGTTCAAGCTTCGCTCACCTTGGTGTGGACTTTTCCTCCTCACCCAGCACATGTCCTCCTGTTGTTTGCTGGGCAGAGGAGTTGGCCAGAATGGCATCTTTCCCTTGGATTTCCAGTGTCCCTCTTTGGCTCGCAGTCATCCAGACCAGATCTATGTATAGATGGGGCATCTGCACGTAGAAAGGTATGCTAGAGATGAAGTGCCGGCAGCAGATGGGGGGCCGTCTTGCAGGCTGGGGCCCCTGAGAGTAGTGGACGGTGTCAGGTCATCTTGTAACTCCATGGTTCACATACGCCGAAAATATTTGCACTCTGATACGGCTCTCTCTGGTTTCAGATTTAGGACCGTTCCAATGGCTCAGGAATCTGAAGGCTCCAGGCAGACAACATTTATAGTCGCTTGGGGAACCTCTGCTTTAAATACTCTCAAAGGGCAGGAGGCAAGACTACACTGAGCAGCAAGGAGCTGCTTCAGCTTGGCTGCTTGATTTTACAGGATTAACACTCTTCTACTGTAGGGGGCCAGAGGGGGCAAACCCCAGACGTCACGGTGCCCGTTCTACTGCATCCAGGCACCGGTGTGTATGTGAGATGAGGACGACCGAGAAGGAAGTGCGGGTATCGGATGAGAAGTTGGGTGAGTTTCCTGGACATAGCTGGAGAGGAATTATCATCTGGAGTCCAACGCTTCTCTACTTCCTTCAGGCTCTATTTTGCACCCCTCACCCTTTGCCAAAGAGGTTGCCATTATTAGGATCCTTGTCATCTGAGGTTAAAATAAGACCTGGTTCACAGTGAGGAAAAGTTATGGGCAGGCAGCCTGGCCCCGCTTGATCTTAGAGCCACGCGCACTGAATCCTCCTGCAGAATGGCTCTCCACAGAACATCCAGTCCCTCCGCTGCCTCCAGCAGGCCTTCCCCAGCCGCCCGAGAAACTGCTGTCTCCCTTTCCTCCGAGAAGGCTGCCCTGACAATGCGTCCCAGTGTCCCCAGATCCTCCTAAGCAGGAAGATTGGAGTGCTGCTCACTTTCTGCCTGGCGTGTAGTTAAATCTCACTCCCACTCACCCCGCCTCTCTGCTACCTGCCATTCGTGCAAGCCATGCAGTCAGGGGCCTCCAAATGGAAAGAGGCAGAATGGGAGGGCACATCAATCCTGCTGCCTTGACAAGTGACATTCTTGCAGTCAGATGCCTGCCGCGATGATCTGGAAGAAAGAAACCCGATGCTCTGAAATGCCTTTGCTCTGACAACATATACAAAGATGTATGGACATACATCAACACACACGTGTTTCCACCCTGCCTTTTCCTGGGCACACAGTCACGTTCTACAGTGTCATCTGCACCTTCTTTCCTCAGGTGAGGTCAGAGCATGGGCTCCCCTGCCATCCTAGAGTGCTGGCTGCAACCCTCACTTGGGTGGGTTACATGTCGTGGCCCAGGGAACCAACTCGGGTCTTCCCAAGCATAAGAGAAACCTGACTCAGGCATCATGGGGGGTAAAGGGAATTGTTCACTTGTGCAAAATTCCAATAGAAAAAAAGTCACTTTCTCCTGTGCACCTTCTTTCAGGGTCCTTATATCCTGGGAAGGAAGTGAGTGACGGTCATGATTGGCGAGACCTTGCTGCCTCGCTTTACGCGTCCATATTTGCTCAGTGCGATGTAGGTCCCTCGGTACCGGTCTGACTCATAGGCATTGTAATTGTTGGGCAGGAGGGTTTCTCTGAACTTGCATTCCTCCTGGAAGCTGGGCTGTGAGGGAATGGACAAACGGCAGAGCATCAGTTATAAGTGAGGCCCAGCACCCCCTCTGCCAGGCACCCTGCCCCTGCCCCGTGTAAGACAACCACTGGGAGACGTCAGCCGTCCAAGGCGAACAGAACCATGGAAGGTTCGAACAGGAAGAGGCGTCAGGGCTCGCACGGTCCCCTCTCAGGTGGGTGGTCTGCGTCACACGGGGTGAGCCTCCTGACTTCCAGATCGGGGCATTTCCTATGAAACACCTGATGATAACTTATTCCACTCGGAGAAAGGACCAGGAAAGGATACAATAGGCTGTTTCCTCCAGCCCGAAGTGAGAGCTGGTCTAGTGGAGCGGGATGGAGAGGGGGCTCGGGGTTCTAGTTAGTGGCCTCTCCACTTCCTGGCTGTGGGGCCCGAGCAGCCTCCTCTCCCCTCAGCCTCTGGTCCCTTTTCTGCAAACTGTGTGGTGGGGAGGCTAGTGGAAGGGCCAAGGCCGACGGTTTCCCACGTCCTTTCCGGTGCTATCCATTGAATACGGTAACTCATTCTTTCCCCTTGTGTTTCCTCACTGTCCTTCCCACTTTAAGTCCCAAGTTTGCTGCCCTTAAAGAGGCATTTTGACTTCGAGCCCAGAAGATGCCCTGTGCCTCCTAGACATTCATCATTCTCCAGGGAAGTGCAGGAACAGAGGCGGTGAGAAGCAGTGCTTGTTATTGGGAAAAGAGCCTGGTTCCCCGTGTGACAGGTGGTGCCATGGGGTCTGGGGCCAGTGATGAATCGCTGATTTGGTAGAGGACTGTGTGTGGACCACCTGTTCAGAAAATGAGCGCTGGACTTCCTGTCGCACATCAACAAGTTCATTGCCAACAAACCACCCAAGTCCTCCTTTATTCCTGGAAAACAGAGCCCTTGCTCTCTGGGCCTGCCCAGGTCCCTGTCCTGAGGGAGGCTGGGAGGATGTCTGTGCTTTTGGCGAGGAGAAGCTCCTTGGGGCCTAGAGGAAGAGAGCAAGGAGGGAGCTGGGGGACGTGGGATGTAGTCTTTAAAAAATAAAGAGTGAAATGGAGAGAAATAGGTGGAGTATAATTTTTTACTCCTTCCTGCTGACTGGGGCCATCAGCTATAAAAAGCCCACTGGCTGACCGGCTGTGCCACAGGAGTCCTCTGACCTTCTCTAAAGGAATTGCACTGTGAGCTCCCTGACCTGGCTGGCAGTGGATGGAGGAGCCTCTTCCTGTTATGAACGGAAGGTGATGAGCTTGCTCACCAGGGCTCCCAGACCCCCCCAGCCCTTGGAGTTCATCTCTCAGACAGCGTTTAAAACAGGGTGTGATCCCTGCAGACAGGTTTTTCCTTCCCAGTAGGCTCCAAGTTCCTTAAGACAAGAATTGTGCCCTGTCCAGTACATGATGCTGAATGAATGACTTAATAGGGACAACACTGAACGGTACAGATACACCCCCCCCGTGGAGGGCTGTTCTGATGCAGGTTGGGAGTGGGCAGGGAGCACACTGAGCACCCCCCTCTCGCCCTCCTCCTCCCCCTTTCATGCCCTTAGTTTATGAAGCACTTTCACTTTATGTTTACTTGCTTGAGACAAATGTGAAAGCTCTCACCAGCCACTGTCAAATGGCTCCTTGGAGTTCCCACAAGCTTCCCTTTCCCTCCACAGGGATGTTCAATAAGTATTTGTGGCATGAGTGGAGGAAGAACTGTCTCAAAGGCAGACAACAAGCAAATCAAAGCGGGTAAAGGGCATATTTGAGTAATAGCTTTGAGATTAGACTGATGAGGATTCACCTCTTACTCAGCTATGTGAACTCGGGCAAATTAACTTCCTAAGCTTTAGTTTCCTCATCTGTAAAGTGGGAGCACTAAGAATAATTATGTCATGGAACTGGAGTAAGATTAATTGAGATAATGCATGAAAAGTCTTTGGTATAATGCCTGGCACATGATAACATAAAAAACAATTGTTATTACTATAATTATGTTTTTCCAACTGAATCATGAACTACTCTACATTAGAAGCCCTGACCTTGCCTTGCCCTGGATCACCATTTCTGCATTTGGTGGGTTATCGGACGACGTAGCTTTAAGCATTGCAACCACTGCCTGAGTGACTGGCAGGCAGTGAGCATGAGTGAGTGGGCATGGAGCCAGGATAAGCAGAGGCTGAGACTGGCTCCAGCACTGCCCTCTCCAGGGCCTCTCTGGACCAAGGTTTCTTTACCTGTCATGGGGAGTAGAGTCAGTCACAGGACCTAAGACTGTTGATGGGGAAAGCTCTGGAGCAACAACATTAGGAGAAAATAAACTCAGGACTGATGATGAAAGTTAAATAGAAATAAAGCTACAGTGATGAAAAGTCTGGTGCAGATCAATGAACACAATTGAAAGTCAAGAAGTAAATCCAAACATGTGTGAATATAAAATAAAAATGGAACTGAAGTGAATATAAAATAAAAGTGGATATAAAAATAGAAGTATTTCAAACCACTGGAGAAAACATGGCGTTGTTAATAATAATAATAACAATAATAGTTTGTATGACTTCATTCATTATATTAAAATAAATTCCAAAAGGAGCAAAGATTTAATTGTAAAAAAAGAACCTTAAAGATCCAGAAAAAAAGTCAGAAAGATCTTTCTAAGCAGGATACAAAACAAATAAAAGCCATAAAAAAATAAATAAATTGGATTCTGCCAGGAAAAAAATCCAAAAACTTTAAACAAAATAAAAATATAAATAGCAAGCTGAATAAAAAATATTTCCAATGCATTATATTTTATAATATATTTTGCAATATATTGCAAAGAGGACATTTTGTTACTACATTCAGAACACTTAACTCACTGAAAAATAGGTGTTAATGAACAGACGATTCACAGAAAGGAAAACATGAATAGCATTTAAACCTAAGGAAATATGCTTAATAAGAGAAATGTAAATCACATAAAAATATGAGATCCCATTTTTAATTGTTAGATTACAAAGAGAACAATATTTGATAATATACTTTCACTGGTGAAGGCAGAGAGACTAGGAATTCTCTTTCTGGTCTGTTGATGTGTAAATTGTTATAAACTCGATAAAGAGCAATTTGACAGTACCTATTACAATAAAAGAATAGTTATAGCTTTGATTAGTAATTCTGCTTCTAGAAATTTATCTTACTAGTGCACTCCCCAAGTGTACAAAAGTGGCTGCAGAATTATTTACAATAGTGAAAGACCGAAATCAGCCTAAGTGTCTCTTAGGAGGGGTGGTTAACGCACACAGTGGAATACTATAGACCATAAAAAAATAAGAAACCTCTTTGTGCACCGACTTGAAATGACCTCAAAGATATATTGTTAAGTGGAGAAACAAGATTCAAACAGTGTGTATAGTATGCTCCTGTTCGTGTGATTTAAAAAAATGACCCCCGTGTGCACACCCAGGGCCACAGGTTCTTCCTGGAATGGTGCTCAGGAAACTGGTAACAGCGGCTGTCTCTGGGAGGAAGTGGGTGGCTTTGGGACAACAGTGAGAACGAGACTTAATTTCCATGGCATATTCTTTGGTGCTTGGTTTCCGCCTTAGGCCATGTTCATGTATTACCTAGTCATACAAGTAGATTACTTAAATGGAAAAGGAACTCAGGATAGAAGATGGGCCAGGGGGTGGAGAAAACATTGGTATCAGAAACGGGTGGCCTCCTCCTCTCACAGCCTCGTTTCCACCCACCGCTTTCGCCTCTGTTCTAACTTGATATGTCCCTGGAGAGTAACCTCCCCGCTGATTTCCAGGAGAATTCATTTCTGATCTGGATGGTGGTCAGGGAAGAGGTTTCATGTGTGGTTAGCAGACTCCAGAGAGGAAATCAAATCTTGGAGGCAGAGTGTGGGGGAAGAGGAGGGGCAGGGGAGGAACTGAGCCATTCTGGCAAGAAGCTCCTAAGGCCTTTGCCATTGTCCTCCATTCTAGAACGTGTCCAGTTTAAGAACCCAGCCTTTCCTCAACATCTGGGTCTCCTAAAACTTATTTGTTTACACGTGTATGATGGTAGTTTATACATTGTATTTTGTTCTCTGCTCATCACAGAACAAATCCCCCTTCCCTTTTTAAAGTTTCTGACTTTTTTTTTTTTCCCATTCTGTCCATTTAATCTAGCTTATTTCATGTTCTTAGCCTTCCTCAGAATTCTGTACAAATCTAAAGTGAAAAAAGAAATAGATGAAGTTTGCTTTAGAAGCCCTCTCTACCTTTCTCTTGCCTGTTCCTTTAAGCAACCCCCAACCCATGCTGGGGGGTCAGGTGGCTATAGGCCTGTGGCAAGACCCCAAGACAGCTTCCCTGAACTCTTTGATGTAGCTGATGCTTCAGGCGAGTGGGATTTTCCTGCAGATTGATGCTCAAGCTGGTATCACAACCCAGCCCCTTAATTCATCTCCACCATTTCCCTGAGCTCTGAGTTCTCATGGCTCAGGAATGTTGGCTCCTCAGCTCTGGTGAGAAAAGTACTCGCGCCAAGTGAACTCTGTGATAATAAAAGCAGCTACCATATATTATTACTTGAACAAATGAAAATAATTCCAGTGGATCACATTTCCTGGGCCTGCCGGGCCTCAAGCCCCAGTATGACAATGTCTTAAATTCCATATAGGTCCAATCAGACTTCTGTGGAACCAAACTCTAGGGCATTGGGCTATCATGCTGGAGAAGGCCGTTGGCAGAGGGGTGGGGGCGTGGGTGTTTCAGCATGAGCTACCTCTGGCAGAAATGCCCCTGGGAGCCTGGGGGAAACCAGACTTCCGTCTCTTGTCTTTAGGCAGAGCCGAGTCACCCCAACTGATGGAAGCGAATTCTTGTCTTTAAAGTTCTTTCTCCTGTGGCTGCCCTTGGCCGCTCGTCCCTAGTACTCCCGGCTGTCTGTGTGTATGGAGGTGGGAGTGGGATGCGCAATAGAAACAAAAAAGAAAACTCGTTGTCCTAAGACCCTTTCCTCCTGCAGCCCCTGACTGCTTCTTTCGCTCTCCTTAGCTGAAAAGAAGACATATCATCTCCCAGCTCTGAAGAGGTCTGTGTTCGCTAACCCTCGTTTCTAATACACAACTGCATGGACAATTTAGAAGTGTTTGAAAAGGTTTCCAGCAGGCACATCATTCTTCTCATTCCTCATAGCTCTCTGTAGCAGACGAAGCGTTGTGTGACTTGTCTGCAGGGCTCTCCAGGCCCATCAGTGCAGCTCGGCTTCCCCTGCACTGCAGTCCCCGCAGCCGGGAACTCGCACAGGAGCCAAGGTTAGGGATCCTTTGTCCCGCGCCCTCAGGAATCCTGTTCTCTGCTAGCCCAGAGGGGCGGCACACTGAGCACTGGCTGAGGGAAAGGCTTGGTCCTCCCGGCCCCCAGGTAATTCTCAGAGGCCTCTCTGGATGAAGTAAATAGTATGTTTTGCACATTGTCCTCCTGAGGCTGTTGAAATAACCTGGTTGTTATTTAATGGGAAAGGAGGAAAGGGAAGACTAGATAATGTAGGCAAGCCATTTATACAGCTTTGCTAATTTAACACTCTCCGAGTCTGTTCTCGAACAAAGGCGGCTTAGACGCATGCCCAGTAAGGTCTGAGCGACTGGGAAGGTGCCTACCTGTCTGCAAGTCACACCTGGGAACAAATCAGTGGCCAGGATGGGCGTAACCACTGCAAGTGCACAAAATCTGAATATTTAAACTTCTAGACAAGAGAGCACTCTGCCTTCTTTTTCCTCTCTCTCTGGTGCACTGGGCTCCAGTGACTCCTGTTGCAAGGGATGCGCTCCCCTGTGCCCACACGGCTCAGGGAATGTGGGGCTCCACAAAATGGACTGATGGACTGTAATTAACTGATGTTGACCTACACCGGCTGCAACATGGAATGGAAGCTCTGGACACTGGCCTTGCTTTTGGGTCTAGTGGAGCCCCAGCTATACCTCTTTCAGGACTGGTTTAAACGGCATGGGATTTTGGAACCTGAGGAGTGTAATTCCATGCAAATAAAGCTTTTTTACCACATTTCATTCTCCAGAAGGGCTTCTGCAAATGCTTATTTTAGCTGTACTCCAAGAACCCCCACTCTCACAGGACAGGGAGGAGTTTGATTCTCTAATAACAATACTACTATTGATTTAAAAGATGTAGACACAGTTATAATTTGTAAAACTAAAATCATTTAAAAGCATAACTGAATTTATAGTACCTTTTTGTTACTGTGTGTTGTGGACAAAAAAGGGGCCACATACTAAACCTGACAAGCTGAGGGGAGACCTAGATGGCAGCCTTACAACTCAGAGACTGAAAGTAACCACATAGGATGGTCTGAACATAAAATTCCTAACTAAAAGAGAGTCATGGCAGGCAGTCATGTCCTAGGCCTGTAGCTTCCCTGACAAAGGTCAAGCTTTACCTTAACTGAGTCTGTCTATTGTTTTTCTGCACCTAGGATAACAGACCTCTGCAATGTCAGAGCAATCTCCTTGTCCAGACCCCTCAGGGCACAAGCGCCAGCACCAGAGCAGAGACCAGGGAACCCCTCCTTGCTATCTTGCTCCTGAATACCACCTCTGTGCTGTATGTACCCGCCAATGTCAAAGAAGTATGTGTCTCTCCGTTTTACTTTTCATCCAACCCCAGAAATTTCCCCGCTTTGCTTTCTCCCACCCTCTCAATCTACCACCAGTGGATTTCATGTAACCTCCTTATGTCTCCTTTGATTTTAACATAGAAAGTAAGCTGCAAAACTGCCATTCTCTGGAATGGTTTCTCAATTTGTTGAGATTTTGCTTCCTGGCAATTGTCCTCAGTTTGTCTCAAACTCTTACAAGACTTTTTCTTAAGCTGGACGTTCGTTCATCAACAGCATTTTTTTTTTTCCCAGCTAAAAGATTCTAAATAGAATCATTGTCAGGGGGAGATCCTTGATTTTTTCTTTTTTAATTTTAAAGAGGAGATTGGAATTCACTGATTTCTGCCTCATTTGAATACCTCTTCTGTACACCAAACGTGCTTCTGCTGTAGGCCTTACCTGCCCAGCCCTGAGGCGGGTCCACACACAGCCATGATTGACACAAGACCTTGGAGACCTGGTATCTCAACTGTAAAGTGAGGGTGAAGATCAAACGCCTCTCCCAAGGGTGCTGGGGGATAATGCCTAGAAAGCCCTCTGCAGGGCACCCTACAAACAGTAGGCGCTCAATATGGGGTAGCTATTTATTGTCTGAGGAGGGCGAGGCACCCTGCCATGAGGCTCTGCACCCCTCTTTCCTGCAGATGAGACATGTGGGAGGGCACTTTTCCTCAGGTGGGCTTTCTTGGTACTTATTCTCCCACCACGGGCTGTCCCTGTCCCCTCCCAGCATAGTTCCCCTCCCCCCATGAGAAATGCCATTTAGCGGCAGTAGCAGCTGAGCCAAAGCGAGATGAGGCAGCTCTGGGGGCTTAAAGGGAAATAGTGTGAATGAAATCATCACCCAGCAGGAGTCTTCCTGGCTCCGGGATCAGTTGGCAATTGTTTTTTTAGACTGTGATAACGGGCCTCCAGGGTGGTGGCAGGAGGGGTGATCCTCTGGAGCCAGTGAAGGACAGAGTCAGTGCCCAGGCTCGAGGCACAGCTCTGCCACTCCCCTGTGCAGCCCCACTCCTGCCTGGCCCTGGGCTCCAGGAGGAGAGTCTCCCCACTTGGAGAAGGTGCTTCTGGGCCAAATGCTCCTGGTGTGTGTGTGTGAAGAGTAGGCAATCTCTCAGAAAAGTCCCCCTTCCCCCTAAATTCTGTTCATTTAGTGAGCCCTGCTTGGCCCCTTTGAAGTCATGTGGGCCAGAGGTGTCTCCTACCTTAGGAGTCAGTCCACACTTCAAAGAGATGGCTCCCTTCCTTTGGTTACTTCGAACGATTTACCCTTCTGAGGCAAGTCCTCTGTTAAATCTTGTGTTCCCAGCCTCCCCCAGCTTCTCCTACCTGGACCATGAACTTAAAGTGGGAGGTGGGTAAATATCCCCCATATTTGTGCCCTTTCCCCACCTCACAGGTGAATTCCTTTCTGGATAAGGAGGGATACTAACTAGCTTATTAATAAAGGTGGTAAGGGGAAGGGTTGCTGTCCTGACTGCTTCCTTCCAGGAGACTTACTGCCTGAGAGCCCTTGCGTAGGGTCCCATAGCTCGCATCCCAATTGTGGCTCTTCCACCAGTGGGGCTCCAGGCGTTATGCGGGCTGGTGAAAAGGGACTCTTTGGGATGATGCACTCCTCAGAGAGGTACCTACTCCGCTAAGACCTGGGTCGGTCCCAGCTGCCTCCTGTCCTCTCCATCACCTTTGCAGAGTTGTAAAGGGTATCTGAAGATGCCTCACTGTGTTTCACCTCCCCAGCTCTCAGGGCTGGGGTGGCCCTTGGGCAAGACAGAGGCCATGCAGCCTGGTGGTCCTCAAGCCTGCCTGCGACCCAGAAACACAGGAGAAACTTAAAAAGCAAAAATAAACAAGCTGACTTCCAGGCCCCAGCCCAGCCCTACTGGATAAGCATCTCTGAGGGAGATCTCTGGAAATCTGCATTTTTAACAAGTTATCTAGGTACTGTGAATGCAAACAGTCCTCCCACAAGTCTCATCTGTAGGAAAGGGGTGCAGAGCCTCATGGTAGATGCTTCGCCCTCCTCAGATAATAAAAATAGCTACCCCAACTTGAACGCCTACTGTTTATAGGGTTCCCTGCAGAGGGCTTTCTAAGCATTATCCCCCAGAACCCTTGGGAGGCACGTTTGCTCTTCACCCTCACTTTACAGTTGAGATACCAGGTCTCCAAGGTCTTGTGTCAATCATGGCTGTGTGTGGACCTGCCTCAGGGCTGGGCAGGTAAGGCAGGTAAGGCCTACAGCAGAAGTACATTTGGTGTACAGACTGGGATCACTGTTCCAGCTCCTGCCCCACTGACACTCCCTTGCCTGTCTTATTTCAGAGACCCACTGAATTTAATCCATACCCCGTCTCCATGTAAACCAGCCCAGACTGAGACATGTTAGCGCAGAGGCCACCTGGGCACCCCATTCAGGTACTTAACAGACCTCTCTTGAAATAGTCTCCCCAGAAGCTGGCACCAATCCCAGGTCCCTCTGTTCGCTTCCTGATCCTCAGTCTGTCTCCAAGGAGAGGTAGAGCAGCCCTCCGCACCCTTCCCATAAATAACTCTGGTATTCCTTGACGAGCGCTCAAAGGTCTTCCTTTATAGACTTCTTATTTCTGTCTAAAGAACTCCAGTTTCTTCAACATCATGGGGACACTTTCTCAGTCCGTATTTTGGAAACAGCCAAATCATGGGCTGAGAGACTCAGGAGGAAGGGGTCAGAGAAGACAGGGATTTTGGTAAATGTGCTCAGAAGTCCGAGATGTAAAATCTTGCAGGGTGATCTGTGTCAGGGAGGAGGAAGGGTGGGCCTAGTGTCCACAGAGGGTTATCATAGGGACCCTGCTTCTCCAGCCTCTGAGATCAAGGAGTAGAGAAGACTTAAAACCTTACACTAAAGTTTCCACATTCTCATGAAAGCGAGGAGAGGTTGCTCTTCGCCTCCTTCTACTGCACTGGGGTTGGAAGCCCCTCTGGGAAGGTGGGTTGCGGAGAACAGCACCCTTGGCAGGCTTGCTTCTGTGGGACTCTGCAGTTCAGGAAATCAAAGCTACCACAGCCAGGGTGGCAGCTGGATGCCAAGGCAGTTCTTCCTCAGACCCTACAGCCCCCTGAGCTATGGATCCCGCTTAATTACAAAGCTCAGGTGGACAGGGCAGAGGCCAGGGTGCTGTGAACCTTCCGAAGCCTGAGCTTCAAGCCCCTCACCTGCACAGTCTCCTCCCACAGCCCCCTCTTTTCTCATTCAGGATAAATGCTCATTTCCATACTCAAGATTTTGTATTATTTTCTTCAGTGGTGTAAGCTTTAGGCCTTGCACAACCTGGAGCCTCCCCTGGCCTGATGAACTCACCGTTGTGTATAATCTTCCTTTACTGTTCATGGCAACGAAGAGGGCGCTTTTCACTCCAAAGAGACTCACCACACCCCGCTCCACAGTGGAAATCTCCAGCAGGCCTGGCAAGGAAAGGCGGGCTGTGTAACCTAAGGCTTGTGCAAAGCAGAGTGAGCCCTCAATCTAAAGGGGGCCCTGCAAGGATATCTAGGCCCAGCCCCCTGCTCCTAGAAAGTCAGACCTTGCATCACCTCCATCCTCAATCGCTTTAATTTTAGGAAATCCAGCAGCTGGACTTGGCAGGTCTTGCCACTATATGGTCAAAAATTCAGTTCTGCAAGGGAACGTTCTGACCTCAGAGTTAGGGACCACAGTGACTTAAGATTAGCTTTGACTCTGGGTTTTCACTGACTTAATCACTTGAGCTGGGTAAAGAATGCATTCTGATCAGTTTTGTTAAAAATTTATACTCCAGCCCAGCAGAAGGGTGGCTCAGTGGTTGAATATCAACCTAGGATCCAGGAGATGGCAGTTCGATTCCTGGTCAGGGCACATGCCTGGGTTGTGGGCTCAGTCCCCAGTTGGGGGCATGCAGGAGGCTGATCAATGACAAAGCTTTCATCATTGATGTTTCTATCTCTCTCTTCTTCTCCCTTCCTCTCTCTGAAATCAATAAAGATATATTTTTTAAAAATTTATACTCCACATATTTCAATCAATCTCAGCCCATCTAATCTTGCAAATGCATCAACAGAGGCTGATGGTTTGCCTGGCTCCTGCAGCCCCCACCCACCCCCTCTTAAGGATGGGAGAGCTTATCTCTGCAGCAACCATCAACTTCTAGGACACAGACCTGGGGACAGAGGGGCAGGTGGAAATGAAAAGAGGGATGTGCTTCAGCTGGAAATTGTGCAAACCACTCAGCTTTCCTTCTCAAAGGGGGAAGCTAAATAAAAATAAGCTTGTGTCTAATTTGGTCCAAGTATCCTCACTCGTTCCCCCATCCTTGCCTCTGGTTTCCCAGGCTGATGGTTCCCAGTGGTCTTATATGGCCACAGGTGGCCCCGTAATGCTGAAGTAATTAGTGCCACAGGGGCTCCCTAGGCTGATGGCGAAGCACACAGGGATGCTTGGACCTCAGCATATTCAGCCTGCACTGAGGCAGGGTCAGTGAGTCTGGGAGGGTGGCTCTGTTACGGGCATCCCACTGGAGCACAGCATTTCTCTCCCCTTTATAACAGGACCCCACGCATCAGAGCAGGGCCCCTTCATCTTTTAGCCCAAGCCCCCAGCTTCCCACTGGCTGCAACTGGCACTCACTGTAGGGGTTTTCCTCGTGGGTCCCGCTGATCCGGCCGTCGGGGGGCACCTGGAGGTGAAAGCCGATGCCCACGTTGCAGTAGAGCCTCCGCTGCCTCTTGATCCCCACCAAGTAGCCACTTTCCCAATTCACCCCGGCAATCTCTCCAGCTAGCCCAGCTCGGGACCTGGACAGCAGGGTGCCCCAGCCCCTCGAATCCAGCAGCGTGCTGTTGGCTCGGGTGCCCGCAGGTGAGGGCACCACCATGCCCACTAGGACGCCTAGGAAGATGAGAGCCTGCAGCGTGCCCTGAAGACGTCCTGCTCCCCGGGACATAGCGATGAACAGCCTCTGTCCCAGGGCCATCCACCTTGCCTCTCAGGCACGTGGTCAGAATTAATGGCCCTAAAAATACCGCCCTTCTTGTTTTTCTCCCCTCGGCATGGCGGCAGGGGCTTATTTTTGGAAGGCAGATGAAGGCTGCTGACATAAAACCAAAGCCTGCTTCGGGCACTCGGGTCGGGAGCAGAGGGACCCAGGCTGAGCCGCGGCTGGTAGGGACCATGGCTTGGGGACGCTGTCTAGTTCACCCGCTAGCTCCGTCCCGAGTTGATTATATTTGATTTGACCTATCTTTATAGTTCAGCAGCCCGGCCCTCCCCTCCACCCATCATCACCCTGACGTCAGCTGGCCCAGCTCACTTATCCAGGGCTGTAACATTAACCTGCTCCTGAGCTGGCTGCTCCCCAGACCCCCATCACCCTCCCCATGCCCCAGGGATTCTGGGAGCCACTGTCATTCCAACTATGAGGCAGGAATGAAGTGAGCAGGGAGCATCTCCGAGGGAGGGGGAATTGGCTGGGGGCCCAGGGAAAGAGGGAGGCGAGAGGCTACCCAAGATCCAAATTGGGCAGAAGTTCTTGGCCTGGCAGCGCTGGCTTCCTTATTTAGAGGGCAAAGGGTAAAGACAGGGATAGGGGAAGGCTTGGTGGCACGTGATGACCAGGGCCTATGAGTTACCTTAGAGACCTTTTCATGGAAAGAACTCACGGTTGACAGCAAGAGAGGCTCAGGGGATACTGAAAGTCTGGACCCTTTTAGCAAAAGGGGGCAGAAATTGGGTGGCAGGGGGTGGGAGGTTACCCAAGGAGCCTTAGGGTCATAGAGGGAGGGAGGCTAGGGTTTGGCTTCTGCTCACTGTCCTGGCCATGACATTCACCCAGCCAATGGAATGGAAGTTGTCTCTGGCCCTTGACATTACCCACTGGCTAGTTTCCTACCTGGGCTCATCCTTGGCATCTGATTGATATTATTTCCATTTTACAGACAAGAAAGCTCAAGCATAGAGAACTTAAATATCTTGCCTGAGTTACCATAGAGAGCAAGTGGCAAAGTCAGACATAAGGTTGGCCTGAGTAGAAAGCCTATGCTTTTAGCCTCTATGTGACTGCCTGTAGTAGAAATGAGATGTCCATGCTGGCCTGCAGAGATGACTGAGCTCGTTACACACCAAGAGTCAATCAGAGGATTACTTTAATAGCCCAAACGATTCACCCACGTACACAGGCTGGAGGCTGCAGGCTGCCTGGGGAAAGCTCTGAGGATGAACCCACTGGTCAGGGACTCCTCTGAGACACCACTCCCTCCTTTCTGGCTCCAAACCTTCTACTCCAGCTTGGGTCTCAGCCTCCAGTCTGTGGCGTCCACCTGCCTTCTGCTCTCTGCCTCGTTCATGTAGAGTGATGCTTTGGTTAGAATTTCTGTCAAGCCACACATTTCAGTTTTGCCCTTGACATGTTTTCTTGGATCCTTTGGAGCCCAGTCATCTTCTGTCATGACTTTTAGCTGAAAAACGGAGTGAAGAGCAGGGAGGGATATATGTACCCCTACTTAGTATCATTCTCACTATTGGGGCCCCCAGCTTCTGACCATCTTCCCCTCCCTGTCACATCCATTGCCTTACGCCCAGCCTTATCATCACCAGCACCACCATTTCCCATGAGGAAAGACTGGCACCTCGTGGGCACAGATTGAGTCTACTATGTAGGCCTTTGTTGGGGAAATAGTAAATAAATAAACAAATAAACAAGCAGAAAGCAAGCATCTCTATGTAGAGTAGGAGAGTTATAAATAATGCAAATACAAAATTGTAAGAAAAAAACAAAACCCTTTACTTTGGATTCCCAGCCTGATATGTCTTTAAGCTTCATGTATGCAAGAGCAGTGGAGACCCTCTGTCGATGATGTTTACTTTGGGACCTTGGGTTAGTCATGCTTCCTGGGCTGCCCCAGGGAAGAGGCGCCAGAAGCATGTGGGACGGTCAGGAGAAGTTAGTCTGAAACAAACACTTGTCTTGGATAGCTGGAGAGGTGCTCATCTGCAGAGGTCGGAACCACTGGAATTCTTCTTGGAACCCATCCACTTTGGGATCTCCTTAAAGGAGAGATTAAACTATAACAAAGTCCATGCTATCTATTAATAAAAATGTTAAATCTCTTTTAACCTCACCCCAGATTCCTTCTTGTGCAGAGGTTAGTTGGTGTCATAAAGCAGTGAACTTTGGAATGGGGGACACCTGGATTTGAATTCTGACTCTACTACTTATTAGCTGTGTGTACTTGAGAAAATGCTGAACCTCTCTGAGCCTTAGATTTTTCACCTGCAAACTGAGATCATTATTTCATAGGGTGGTTACAGGGATTAGCAACAATGTATGCAAAGGTCCTGGTGCAAAGCACAGGAGAGCTCCCTCCCCAGTCTTTTCTCTGAAACACAGAGAAAATCTCTTACCTGATTAAAGGAGGAAGAACCCAAAGTGAGAAGGACCCCCCCTCATCTTAGGGGTGAGAGAGACACATGAGCTTCCAGTTCTTAGCTGCCAGCCACCAGAGCATATGTTGTGATGGCTGTTAACATATGTAGAAGCAGGCAGCCCGGATTCCTAAAATATTCTGAAAACCAGTAATAGCCTTGGTACCATCCCCTGTTAAATATAAAACTTAAGTAATTCATTCTATTAAAAAGCCTGGGTCTTATTTTTATCAGGTGATGTGATGAGGCCCTGTTCTAAATGCGCCTCCTGGGCCTGTCTCTATAGCAACCCCACTGTGCTCATATAGCCATATATTTCTCCTGAAGGCTAATTAAGTTGACAACTGCTAGGGCTTCTTGGTTTACCAGTTTTGCACTTGACCCTTCCCTTGGGGCTTAGGGACCCCTATGGATGTGAAGTGATAAAGAAAAGAGTAACAGGTGGAGGAGGCCTCTCCGTGGACCCCTTTTTCAAATAGTTGCCCAGCAGCCTTTGGGGTTGTCAATCACTTTCTCTGGATGAGCCAAGAGTTAGTGGACGTGAGTGGGAAAAAATGTTAATGTTTGTCTCCTTTCATCACAGGGTCCTTGTCCCTGAGTGGGGTACCATGCGGTCCAGATTGGTCAATTTCTACCTGTATGGTGGAACTACCTCGGCCAAAGCCAGGCAGGCTGCCTTCTGTGACTCCTGTTATCACATAATAAAGTCAAGCACCTCAGGAGTGAGCGTAGGGAGAGCATGTAAAGCTCATGTAGACTGTGCAAAGCTGTTTACTTGTACTTTTTACATTTGACTTTTAAAAAGATTTGTCTTTTTTTTAATAAATAATTTGGTAAAATGCAGAATATTAGAAGGTGGAGAATAAAATAGCTGTTGTGTTTTGTGTCTTTCTTTTGCCTTGTTTGTTGTTTTTTTTTTGAGCTCTCCTGGCAGAAGGACCTGGCCACCCCCTTGGTCTCTCCCTCCCTCTTGCTTAGACAGGCACCTGTGCATCTACACAAGTGTTTAGTGGCAGAGTTTGCTCAGGGGACTTGATGGGTAGGAGACAAGCATGTGCTGAGGAGAGGGATTAGGAAGCACCTCTGCTCTGGAGCTGAGCAAAGAGGAGCATTTAGGGCTCGTGAAACTCTCCGTAGGTGGAAGATTCAAGAGAAAAAGTTCCTACTAGAACAAAGGTCTCCTAGGTATTATCTTCCCAGCTGGTCCCTGGAGGAGTCTTTAATTTGCACTTTCCTAGTGAAATTCAACTTTCCCCATGTCTCACCCATATCAGTGGGAACCCATTAGCAGTCACCCCAAATCTCCTAGTTTTGCTTTTACGAGCTCATGTGGAACTTCATCCCACTCTGTTAGCCTGGGGTTATTTCTGGAGTTCCAGAACAGTGTCATGTGTGTTGGTGAACATGTGACGGCTCCTGCTGGGGCCATTGCGGTGAATTGGGGTGGGCCACCCTGTCCACCAGCCTGATGCCTCCTGATGGACAGCCGATGGGTGCAGTAGTCTTCCCTACTGCAGTTTCATTTTCTGTGGTTTCAGTTACCCATGGTTAATTGATGTCCAAAAATATCAAATGAAAAATTTCAGAAATAAACAATTCATAAGTTTTACATTGCACCCTGTTCTGACTAGTGTGATGAAATCTCACCCCATCCCACTCCATCCCACCTGGGACATGAGTCTTCCCTTTGTCCAGTGAATCTACACTGTAGACCCAACTCACCCCTTAGTTACTTAGTAGCCATCTCAGTGATTAGATAGACTGTTGTGATATCATAGTACTTGTGTTCAAGTCACCTTTGTTTTCCTTAATAATGGCCCGAAAGCCCAAGAGTGGTGACGCTGGCAATTCAGGTATGCCAATGAGAAGCTGTAGAGTGCTTCCTTTAAGTGAATAGGTGAAAGCTCTCCATTTAATAAAGAAAAAAAATATGCTGAGGTTGCTCAGATCTACCACAAACACAAATCTTCTGTGAAACTGTGATGAAGGAAAAAGAAATTTGTACTAGTTTTGCGGTCACACCTCAGACTGCAAAAGTTACTGTCACAGTGTGTGACAAGTGCTTGGTTAGGATGGAAAAGACATAAAATTTGTGGGTAAAGACATGAACAGAAAATGTGTTCTGACTGATGACAGCATGTTGCGCCATAAAGCACTGAGCTTTTAAGAAGACTTCAGCAAGGGATCCCCTGAAACGAGTGACAACAAACCATTTACTGCAAGTAAGGGATGGTCACACAGATTCAGGAATAGGTCTGGGCTGAAAAACATGAAAATTACTGAGAGGCTACATCTTTCAATGAAAAGGCTGGGGCCACATTTCTGGCAGTTAAAGTGAATTAGGGTTCAGTATTATTTGCAGTTTCAGGCATCCACTAGGGGTCTTGGAATGTATCCCCCATGGATATGGGGGGACTACTCTATTACATTTGTCATAGTAGCTCAGGACCTGAAGACCTCAAGGAACGAAGCTGCCTTATGTCCTGTTTCAAAAGCAAGGACAAGTATCGTAGTCCCCTTCCTCATAGTGAAGCTTGTTAAAGCAATGCCTCGCCAGTACTACTTGTGCCCTGTTGATTTTCTCATTTGGATTTTAT